AAGTCTCTATGAAAATAGAATTTCTACAGCCAAAACACAACATTGAGATACAGAATACAATTTTCTTCTATAAGAATTTTCACAGAATAATAGAATATCTGGATTTAAAGGCTGAGAGGAAATTTTAAACCATCTTGACTCATTTTACTGAGGAAGAAACTAAATTTCAGAAGGGGCAATGTTATGAACAAAGCAATAAAATTGTTTAATGCATAAATCTATTTTAAAAAAGAAAAATTTCCAACAAAACTTCAGGGTTGTAATACTTCAAAAGGCTAAATTTTTTGGCCACTACAAGTGCAAAAAACAGCTCTCCCAGATTTGGCTGTCACCTCCTGCCCAATGCCAACCGTAATGGACAATCAGAGCAGGTAACAGCTGAGAGCTGCTGAATCCATTAGATGTAAGCAAGAATCCTACTGCACGGACTTACATTAGACCCAGACTTTAACTGAGGAAAACAACAAAAGTACTTCGTTCCTTGAACAATGACAGGGATTTTCTTTCTTTCTATGGATAATGGATGTGGATGCTGGATTTTATTAGCATTGCAAACTATTGCTTTGTTATTAAGGAGTCATTCAACTTAAAAATTAAAAGATAATGATAGTAGTCATAGTGGTAGCAGTAGCAGTAATAGAGTAGTAATCATGATAGTAATGATGTCTAACACAGATATAGCACTTAGCTAAGTGCTGGGCACTGTGCTTAGGACATTAGTCCCTACATTTAATCATTTAACCACTTCATCATTACATTCAATGCATTTAATCCTTACAGTTACCCAGCGCAGAAGGTATGCTATTACTCTCATCTTACAGATGAGGAAACAAGGTACAAAGAGGTTATGTAATTTATCCAAAATTCCACGGCTAGTAAGTAGCACAGCCAGAAATTCAGAGTATGCAGCCTGATTTGAGAGTAAAAATAATTCTTTTCAGCGATGGAATTAAACTAAGTACATATGAAGGATACTGAGGACATCAAAACAAACACATTGCATCATTTTGAATTGAACAAAGAAGACATGAACATTCACCTTTTTTCTTCCCTTTTAACCTGAGCCCCCAAATGATAAAATATATTTCAATATAGATATATAAAAAGATCACAAATGCTCCAAGTATACCTTATTATTTTTTCCCTCCACCTACTCCACAAACTAAGCCCTTTTTTTCTAGCTCTCTTAGAAGTGAGAAGTGAACCTCCATAATCTTATAGATTAACTACAGGACTAAGAACTAAGGCCACCTACATCCACATTACTTTATCATTTGTGCCAAGAAATTCTTACTCACAAAGATAAGGCTGTAAATCAGTAAATAACTTCATTGTTTGCTTCAGGAACTTCCCAAAAGTCCATTTACCCCAACAATAGACTACTCAAACAGTCCCCTTCTCACAATATTCCTTCGGTTGGGCAAACAACTCACTTATCAAATAACCGCGTACTTAAAAGACTTGGTTAAAAGCCTTGCCTCGCTGTTTCCATTCATCCTAAACTACCTTACCATGAACTTTGCCCAGTTTCAATCAGATCACTGCACTGGTAGACCTACCTTCCATCTCTCAGGGTCATACCCGAAACTACAGTGTCTCCCTTGTAGTCCACTATGACTCCATCAGAGCTGCTCTCCTCACCATAGGACCAAGAAACTTAGTTTTGCTCTATCAACAGGCTAATGTGGCCTTCTGTGGGGCAGTCAGCAGTCAATAGAAGGGAATGACCCTATTCCATTTCAGTTGCTTTTTTATCAACAACTTTTTAAAAAAATTTCTTCTTCTCTCATACGTATATTAGATCACAGGTGAAATTAAATATATCACAAAATGAGATCACTATAGAAAAAGATAAACGTAAATCAGCAATTGAAAAGGGAATGAGCGAATCTAATAACATTCAATATGAGACAGCAAACTATATTTCACTGTAGCCACAGTTTAAGCTGAATTGGGTTAATTACATATTTCAAAACAGTCTTAAAGTCTCCCTAAAATCAAGATTTAGAAATAAAAGGAAAAAAAGCCCTAAAATGTCAAAGTTTAAAGTATTCTGCCATCTGATTAGATTTTACAAAAGTTTCCTTTACTTTAACTCATATGCCTCTAATGTTATATATCAAATATGAATATATGAAATATAGTTGATCTTTAAAAAACAGCTCTGACTAAAAATAATTTAAATCTGTATAAATATAAAATTAGTCATTTTTTTATTTTATTTATTTATTTTTCAATTTTTATTTTTTTCGGACGTACATCATATTTCGAATTCTGTATACACTACATCATGTTCACCACCCGAACACTAATTATCGTGCATCCCCTCACATGTGACCCTAATCACCCAAATTAGTCATTTTGACATCACCTTTTATTTATATAATCACTTTTATTAGATTTCAGTTATATTTATTTATGGAATTATTAAAGTATATAACTAGTATTTATTTTAATGTTATTTGATTTTATTTCTGACTCTTTCCATGTATCATATTTTTCCTTAGAAAAAATTAAATCAGATGAAAATCAAATTGGATGTATTAAAATGCCAAGCTTTTTATAAAGTTGAAGGATTTAGACAAGAAGAACTTATCTCTTCACATTAAAATGTGTGTATATATACTGTGTGTGTGTGTGTGTAGGTACGTTTATATATATACATCCCCATCTATCCCTAGGTAAGAAAAATGAGTGCAACATAAAATATCTAATTTTTTTCATAGATTATCAACACCAACCATCTCAAATATTACTACTACTTTCCATGGAAGTGTTACTAACTATGTGACATTTTTGTTGTTATTGCCGTGGAGCAATACGTGTAGTGTAGAGAACAGAACAGGGAGGTTAAAACAGAGCAGGGTTTGCATCCTGGGTTCCCTACTCTAAATTGGGGGAAATAACTTATATAGCCTCAGCTTGCCTATCTGGAAAAGAATGATATATCCCCCTTCTTGACATAAGTGCTGTGAAGATTAAGGAAATAATACAGAAGGTACTCAGTCTACTACCTAGGACATAGTGGCAGTTCTCCATAAATGTTTGTTACCCATCATGCATGTTAGTTCCCTGTAATTATGGTCCTAAGTGTCTATAAGATATTGAAGTGCTTCCTAAATAATTAAAGAAGTATTAATTATGCAACAAGATCTCTAAGGTTCATATTCTTTCAACAAATAATTCTACCTCTAGGAAACCAGCCAGAGGAAATGATTAGAGATATTCTCAAATATTCATGTACAAAGAGTCTTCAAAACTCTTTTTTTTTGGGGGGGGGGGGAGTGAGGAAGACTGGCCCTGAGCCAACAGCTGTTGCCAACCTTCCTCTTTTTTGCTTGAGGAAGACTGTCCCTGAGTTAACATCTGTGCCAATCTTCCTGTATTTTGTATGTGGGACACCACCACTGCTTGGCATAATGAGCAGCATGTAGGTCCTTGGCCAGGATCGAAACCCACGAAACCCAGGCTGTGGAAGCTGAGTGCACAAACTTAACATCAAAAAAATGGAAACAACCTAAGTACCCAAATATTATACTACATCTATTTGGCTGCATACTGTACAACTATTAAAATATTCATGAAGAATTTAAGAGCATTCAAAAATGCTTCTAAAAATTAAAACAGCCTGTAGATCTACATGTTAACAATTACATTCACGTGTGTCAGTTACACATATATACATATGCAGAAGAAAAGGATTGGAGAAGATATCAAAATATTAACAATGACTAACTCAGGATGATGGGAAAACAGGGCATTTTGTTTTATTTTTTACTTTTTTTTATTTTCCAAATTTTCTACCATATACCTGAATTATTTTAATACTTAGAAAAAATAAAATTTAAACAATCTATTCAATTATGTTTATCATTTAGTATATTCTAGCTTTTTAAGGGGGATCTTTTAAATTATACCCCATCTCATTTTCAAAAGATTTGAAATAGCTGACAGAAATACACATAACAGACTAAAATAAACAGATGAAAAAAAATAAAGAAACGTGCAGACTCTCAGCATACATCCACATATACATATTTATCTACCTATCTATTTATCTTATGCATGTGTGTATATATATATATATACATGTCAGTCAAACTTGGTTTCAGATACTGAAAATGGAAGGAAGTTTCTTCAGCTTTCTCAGAAAGGGCATACTGCAGATATGATACACATTGTTTCAAATTGTACATAAGGAGTGCTATTTAAGTGAATTAAGTCAAACACAGTTATGTGGTTGGGAGGAGAGGAGGTAGATTAAAAGTCAAGAAATCAAGACCTGTAACAAGATGAGCATGACCATGATCAACCACCCAAAGAACGCCTCTTAAAAGTGCACAGATACAGGGGCCAGTCTGGTGGAGTAGGGGTAAGTTTGCACGCTCCACTTCAGCAGCCTGGGGTTCGCCGGTTCAGATCCTGAGTGCAGACCTACACACCGCTTGTCAAGCCATGCTGTGGCAGGTGTCTCACATATAAAGTATGGGCACAGATGTTAGCTGAGGGCGAATGTTCCTCAGCAAAAAGAGGAGGATTGGTGGCAGATGTTAGCTCAGGGCTAATCTTCCTCAAAATAAAAAGCAAAGTTACAGGGTCAAGCCTGGTGGCATGGTGGTTAAGTTCACACACTCCATTTCAGTGGCCCAGGGTTTGAGGGTTCAGATCCCAGGCAAAGACCTACACACCACTTGGCAAGCCATGCTGTGGCAGCATCCCTCATACAAAGTAGAGGAAGATGGGCACAGATGTTAGCTCAGAGCCAATCTTCCTCACCAAAAGAAAAAAAGCACGCAGATACAAAGATAAAGAGAAATCTAGATTTAGACAGATTTTTCCCTCATATTTTGACACCCTTATTCATGTGTCTTCAAAGAAAAAAATAAATGGAAATATTAAAATTATACTTTAATTTCTACATAAAAAATATGTCAAGAAAATAAACATTAACAAAATAAACTCCTATTAACAAAACATATTGGATATTGTGTAGCGCTTACCTTCACTGATAGCATGGGGCTTAATAATGCAACAGGTACAATCGGTAAATTTAGCAGTGTTTGCTGGCCCACAAACTCCACTCGAAGGAAAAAATAACTCCATTTCCTAAACACAGAGAGAAATGATTTTGCATACGTAATCTCTTATCTTGAACTCCTAAGATGGTTATGTAAGGAAGAACTATACAATTCTTTTAAAGTTTCATAATATAAATTCTTTGTTTCAGACTTTCTAAAAATGATTTTTACAAAGAATAACTGAACACTGTTTCAAGTATTCTAATCAAAAGAATATATAAGAAGTATAATTAAAGCAATAAGAATATGTATCAGGGGCCAGCCCAGTGACATAGCAATTGGGTTCGCACACTCTGCTTTGGCAGCCCGGGATTCGCAAGTGTGGATCCCGGGCGCAAACCTGTGTACCGCTTGTCAAGCCATGCTATGGCAGGCGTCCTACATGTAAGATAGAGGAAAATGGGCACTGATGTTAGCTCAGGGCCAATCTTCCTCAGCAAAAAAGAGGAGGATTGGCAGCAGATGTTAGCTCAGGGCTAATCTTCCTCAAAAAATAAAAATAAAAAAGAATATGTATCATTCTGTCCCGGTATTAAAATTGATAATGTCTTATATTTTAAGCATTGGAAGTAATCAACATAAAGTTCCTATTTTTGCTAAAGCATTAGTTCATGAGACAGGTCTAATTTTAAACTTTTCATTAAAATATGTAAAATTAAAAACTAGGAAATCTTTATATAAACAAAGATTAGTATTCAAGAATCAGAAGTATAATTAGTTAAAACTAATTAACCTACTATGGTTCCAGTATAAAATCAAATCACATGAACCTTACTTCATAAGCAGATTCAGGGTGTTATTTGCTCTGCATATGGTTTATTAAAATGACAACCCAGCAATCGGAACTAGCCAGAAAGATGGTCACACTAATCAGTTATTTTAATGAGACAGACGCTTTTCAGCCTCTAAGCTTTTACTACTATTATTTCTACTATTCCCTCTAAAGCCCTCTGTCCCAAAGACAATGTATAAATGGCCAGTTCAAATAGCACCTCCTCCAGGAGGCCTTTTCTAATACCCTCCATCAGTACCCTGTGCTCCTCCAGAGTTGTGGTTATTTGGGTAACTGTCCTCTACTAATTATAAATTAGAAGAAAGGAACTAACTCGTGTAGGTTTGTAGGTCCTTTAGCACCCAAAACAAATGGCTCAAAGTACTCATTTTATTGAATTTAAAAATTGAAAGATCATGTTAATGCACCACACTGATGTGTGTGTGTGTTTCTGTGCGTGTGTGTATATATATATATAAAAGATTGGCCCTGAGTTAACATCTGTTGCAAATCTCCCCCTCTCTCTCTTTTTTTTTATCCCCAAAGCCCCAGTACATAGTTGTATATTCTAGTTGTAGGTCCTTCTAGTTCTTCTACATGAGCTGCCACCTCAACATGGCTACTGACAGACGAGTGGTGTGGTTCCATGCCCAGGAACCAATCCCAGGCCGCTGAAGTGGAGCACACTGAACTTTAACCACTAAGCCATCAGGACTGGCTCTGATGTATATTTTAAAAAATAACTTGGGAAGATGAAGAATTGCTTAAATAGTAGTATATACACTTGAGCAATTCTAGTGCTAAGACATTGTAGAAGAAAATTAAAATGTTCTATCCCTTAGACACCAAGTACCTTTCCATGATATTGCTGCCTTTGTTTATTACTCTTCTTGATCAAAAACAACAGCAACTATAACTTCCAGTCCTGCACCAGATGCTTTCACTACATATTCTCAGAGAACCTGTATGGTACAGGTGCAGACTCAGAGTCCTGGCAGGTAGTCAATGAATGAATGAAGTAAACCTGGAGTGACAAGAAGGCGCGGTAGAGGGCTACAAACTGGGAAAGGCATCCCTTCTAGAGTTCCCATTTGTCTGCTTCCTTCACAACAGAGCTTCTCAAAAGAGATGTCTTTATTCTCTATCTTTACTTCCTTTCTTCCATTCTCTCTTAAACTTACAACCAATTAGGCTTTCATTCCACCAAAGCTGCTCACCAAAATCCCTAACCACTTCCATGTTGTCAAGTCCCCTGATTAATTCTCAGACCTCATCTTACTTGACCAAACAGTATCTCACACAACTGATCACACCTATACCCTGGAATACTTTCATCACTTGGCTTTCTTCCTGCCTCACTGCTTGCTCCTTCTCAGTCTCCTTTGATGGTTTTCTCCTATCTAGCCGACCCCTAAGTGTTGGAGAGCTCCAGGGCTCCATCCAGTCTTGTATCTATGGTCACTCTCTTGGAGAGTTCCTCAAGGCCTATGGCTTGAAACGTCATCTATATTCTAATGGCTCCCACATTTTTACCTCCAGCCCAACGTCCTCCCTAAACTCCACACCCATATAGCTATGCCACTACCACTATAGACATTTCATATTTAAAATGTACAAAACAGAACTCCTGATTTCCACTGTGTCCCATAAATCTGTTCGCCTCACCCTATTTTCTCCATCCTTCCAACTGCACAGGCCAAGAAAGAAAAGGCTTAGAGCAATCCCTAAGTCCTCTCCTTTTCTTATCCACCCATCCAGTCTATTTGGAAATCCTTTAAAGTATATCCAAAATCCAACAGCTCCACATATGTCACCCTGGTCCATGCCACCACCAACTCTCTTTAATGATTGCACTAACCTACTAACTGACCTCCCATTCCAGCTTCCCACAACACACCTACCCCCACTCTGCCTGGTCTATTCTTAAGACAGCAGTCAGAGCAAAACTCATAAAAACAGATCCTGTCACTCCCCTGCACAGAACACTCCAATGGCTTCCTATCTCATTCAGAAGGCATTTCAAAGTCCTATACGTCTTACAAGGCCTTATGTGACCTGGCCCTTGGCTATTTTGCTGTAGTTGTTAGTGCTGTGGAGTGGATTCCAACTCCTAGAGACCTTGTGTGAAGCACAGCAGAACTATACCTGGTCTTTTTGAGCCATCCTCTCACCTTCCAATGTTATATAAGCCAATGATCTGCTGCTATTCCCATGTTTTTGGGTGGGTGGCCTTCTTGCTAGTCTGTCTTAGTCTGGAAGCTCTGCTGAAACCTGTACACCATGGGTGACCCTGCTGGTATTTGAAATATGGATGGCACAGCTTTCAGCATCACAGCAACATACAGCCACCAAAGTCTGACAACCGAGAGACAGACAGGCGGTGTGGTTCCCTGACCAGGAAATGAACTCAGGTCATGGTGGTGGGAGCACTGAATCTTAACCACTAGACCACCAGGGCTGGCTTAAGTATCTTAAAATGAGATAATTCTAGGTTATCCATCAATATAGGCCCTGAATCCAATGCAAGTGTTCTACAAGAGAAAGGCAGAAGGAGATTTGAGGTCGATAGAAAAGGAGAAGACACAGACACACAGAGATGGCCACGTGAAGACAGAGGCAGAGATCGGAGTGATGCAGCCACAAGCCAAGAAACTCCTGACCTAATCTCCTATTCCCATGAAGCACTCACATTTCTGCCCCAGCACCACTGGCCTCACCAACTCACTGTTCCTTGAAGACAGCAAACATGTTCCCATCTCAGAATCTCTGCATGTATTATTCCTTTCTTCCTGGAACACTCTTACCTCAGATATTTGCATAATTTTCTCCCTCACTTCCTTCTGACCTCTGCTCAAACCAGAGATCATAAGAGTTTCCTGAATATCCCATCAGTCATGCGTAGCTCAATGGTGGGGATAAGTTCTGAGAAATGCATCATTAGGCAATTTCATCACTGTGCAAACATCACAGAGTGCACTTACACAAACTAGATGGTATAGCCTACTACACACCTAGGCTATATGGTACTAATCTTACGTGACCACTGTCGTATATGCGGTCCATGGTGGACCAAAACGTTGTTATGCAGAGCATGGCTGTATTTAATAGCATTCCGCTCAACACACAATCCTTCCTCACCCTGGTCACTTTCTATCCCCTTCCTAGGCTTCATTTTCCTCAGAGCAGTCACCACCTGACATGTCATATGTCTATTATTATCTGATATCCCCCAATCAGAAGAAACATAAGCTCTATGTGAGCCAGGACTTTTGTTTTGCTCACTAGTAGCTTCTCAATAAACATTTTGAAATGACTGAAACACAGAAACTTATAAATTCTGGATGTGCTAAATGAAATATATCCATCCATATTGTATAAATGAGAAAAATGACACTCAGAAATCTCAAGTAACAAGCCCTTACAAGTCAGCAAGTGGCAAAGCTGGAATTCCAATCCAGGTCACGCCAGCCCCAAAGCTCTGAACTTCTTCTATCATCTGTCTTTCCAAAGTCAAAGCCAGGCCAAATTGTTCTCCTCTAGAGGAACCAATTATTTTTGTCCCAACTTCCCTCTAGTTTCTTCTGTTGCTCAGTTTTTAAAAATAAAATGCCAGCTTTCCAAGTACTCATTTACATGTACTGAATAAATATGTATTTAAGGCAAGGAATATAAATATATCTTCTTGGTGAAAGTGAGTAATTCTATTTTATGCCTTTGCTCTCTCTTTCTCCCTGTGCAGGTTGTCATATCTTTCCCAACTATTAATCCAAGCTAACATTTGCAAGAGTACTTTTACTAGGTCATTGTCATGGCAACTAACTCAGGGACTTCATGAAACAAACGTAAAGTTGCACAACAAATTTTCATATTCTTTTGTGATTTGACCAGCTTAAATATTTTGCATAAAGCTTCTCTCCTTCCAAGGGTCCCTGCTATTACCCTTAGCCTTTTATATGTCCCTAATTGCCTAGCAGGGAAGAATAAAGATATGTAACTTTCCAAGAAAATAAAATTCAGACAGTAACTAACAAAAATTCAAGGTCAAGGAAAGGTTATTTGGGGCTGCCTGTGTGATGTTTTTCAATCTCCGTTAACATGTGCGGTCCTCATCTCCTCGTGTATGATGTGTGTTCCAGCCACAGTATATCTCTCCTTGATAGCTAGTCAGCTAACACAGTGTCCACAGCACTCGCTCTTCCCAGACAAGAGTCAAGACTATGTATATACTAAAGCGTTGACACAAATGATGGGGTATTTCAGGGACAAATGTCAGAAAGAACTAAAAAATTTAAGTTCACAAAATAGGAACAAATATGTTTAAGACATTTCTTTAGGATAAAGGATTATGGGAGATAACTTTGCAGAAGCTTCTCCACTACAAAAAGAGGGGAAAAAAGTCATTCTGCAAATTGTATTTGCAGATAGGAATTTTTCTACCAAGCTTGTACATGCGTTATGTATGTGCACGCATAGAAAACCACAAGCATATGTACTTAAGGCAAGTCTAGCTTTAGCAACGTTAAGGTACAAGACTTTCCTTGCATTTCTGAATCCACTTATTTTCAGCATCAATAGTATTACTGAAATAAATGTACAATGTACATTACTATCCAATAAAGACATGGTATAGTTAGAGTCAAGATTGCTGGTACTTCATAAAAGGCAAAGAATATTTGAAAGGTAAAGCATCTTGAGAAAAATACCAAAATGATATGCTGACATTTTTCCATTTCTTTCCATTTTACTTAGATTATATCAGAGTTTTTAATACAAACACTTTAAAAATACATTGTTTACTAATGGGATGTAGCTAGGGACCTTAATGACCAGTATCAGGAGAATTAATTCATCCAACAGAAATACTGATGAGCATTTATTATGTGCCAGGCAAGTTCTAATGATGAAAACAAAACAGATAAAGATCCCTGCCCTCTTGGAACTCACCAGTGGGGTCATTGAATGTGTAAAACAGAGAGAGCCTAAGTTATGTGAAATCTGACAAGCATATTTGTGCTCAAATTTATTAAATGAACTGGTGGAAATAAAGAACAAAGAAATAAATGGGGTAAGATGGTAACGGGGGGAAACAGGAAAATATAAATGAACATGGTCAGTGATTTTCAGTTCAGCCCTCCATTATTTCCTTCATTAACTATTTATGCCTATCATTTTTATAATATCCTAAAAAATCTGGTAACTTCACTATAGAAAATAATACTACATTTACAGTAAACATTTCCTACTAAGATCAAAGGTCGAAGACTACAATCACTCTCTTGGCTACACCCTTGACTACCTCGACCCTCCTATCATATTTGCTTCACAAAACCACAGCCATGGTTAAAGCCAACTCGCCATTTGCTCTGCACCTACACCCATGTAGGCAAACGGCTGGAGAACGACCACACTCACCATTCACCACCATAACATCAGGGGGGCCATTAATTCAGCACAGCAATCATACCATATTTCCCTAACCTGTTCCTTTTCCTAGTCTTTTAGATGACTATTTCACATCTCCTCTCTCTTGAAACCAACCAATACCTTCCCCTCATCCTCACTTTTAGCTGACCTGGCTTCCTACTTTCTTATTGAGAAAACTGAGGCAATAGGAAAAGAATCAGCATCTACGCCCACATACTCTGTCTTCCCATTTGTTGCGATAGCCGACTGCCCGCGCAATAATGTGCGGTCAGTCTGGGCTCTAGTTTCCAGTCCCTCTGACCCAATCAATGGCATTGCTCCAGTAAGCCTCCCTCTTATTCACACTTTATCAATTTTTCACATCTGTAATTCTTTGCATCTTAAAAACACTGTTCTTGCTTTTCCTTGCAGTTACCACCTCATTTCTTTGCTCACCTTTGCAGCAAAATTCCCTAAAAGAGTTGTCTATATTCACTGTCTCCAATTCCTGTCTTCCAATTTTCTTTTAAATCCACTCCAAGCAGAGCCTTGCCTCCAACTCTCTATCAACATTCATCTTACCAAGTTCACCAATAATCTCCGCATTGCAAAGTCTAATGGCCAATTCTCAGTCCCCTTCTTCTTTATATGCCTGCCTCATTTGACACCACTCATCATTCTCTCCCCTTAGAATATTTTCTTCACTTGGCCTCCAGGACACAAAAGCTCCACCTTTGTTCTTTTTCCTCTCTAGCTACACTTTCTCCTTGGTAATCTCAACCAGTCTCATGGCTTTAAATACCATCTATTTGCAAATGACCCCCATATTTATGCCTTTAGTCCAGACTTCTCTCCCAAACTCCAAAAACTCAATTTTTTGCTCAACATCTCTACCTGGATAATTAACATACATGTCAAGTTTGCAGAGTCCGGAATGTAACCTCCAATTTTCCATCCATACTGACTCTAGCCATAGCCTTTCTCATTTCAGTTTATGTAAATTCTATCCTTTCAGTTGGTCAGGCCAAGAACTTTGGAGTAATCCTTGATGCTTCTCTTTTTCTCATACTCTACATTCAATCTGGAAGGAAATCTTGATCATTTGACCTTCAACCATTAAAATACATTTTAAAACATATCTTAAACATATATTTTTAAATATATCTCTATATTCCTCTCATTGCTACCACCCTAGTCCAAGCCATCATCTCTGTGGATTATTGCAACAGCCTCTTAACTGGACTCTCTGTTGGTACTCTTGCCCTCTACAGTCTATTCTCAATGCAGCTGCCAGAGTGATCTTTTTAAATGGCAAGTCAAACATGTCAGTCCTTTTTTCAAAACCCTGCAGTGGCTCTCCATTTTCCTCGGAGAAAAAGCCAAAGACCATGTGATATCTCCCTTGATTACTTCTGTGATCTCATCAGCCCCACCTTCCTTCAATCTCAAGCAACCACATTGCTCTCTTTGCTGTTAATTGAATACGCCAGGCAGAAATATGCTATTCAAGGAATAGCAAGATGGTCAATGTACCTAGGACACAGTGAATAAGGAAGAGGTGGGTCAGAGATAAAGATGGAGAGATAGATAAAGGCCAGATTAGGTAGAATTTTGGAGGCTACAATAAAAACTTTAGATTTCTACAAGAAAAAAAATTCACTAAAGAGTTTTCAATAGTTGAATTGTCAATCTGATTTGTTTTAAAAAGATAACTCTGGGCATAATTTCACTTGGGCAAGGTAAAATTTCATAAACTGAGTGTAAGAGGACGAGAGGAAAGAAGAATTAGGAAGCTTTGCAGTAGTCCAGACAAAATATAACAGTGATTTAGACCACAATGATCAGACTCAAGGTCTAATTTGAAAGGAGTGCTGAAAGGATTTGTTGATAGAGTTGTAAGAAAAAGAAAAAAAAATCAATTATTATAAAACTGTCCAATGTTATTTCCTTGCAGACATGACCAGACTAAAAATCACCTTAAATTGGGTGAGGAACTTTTCATGATGTTAAGAATAAATTTGTACTTTGTCAGTTCAATGTCAGTATAAACCTAGTGTAATATTTTATTTATACGGATTTAAAATAAGGAGTCATTTTAGAGAAACTTTTTCATAACAGTAACTGTAAATTAGAAAAGAAAAAGATGCTAAGTTTGAAAATACAGTGTTAGGTCTCGGTCAAAGAGAGAATGTATAAAATGATGCTTTCTTTAATATTTACCATCTATAACTGTGATCTCATCAGCCCCACCTTCCTTCAATCATGTATTCGTACATGAATTCAATAATTCAAACATTGATGAGTCTCAGTAATTTAATTCTTTGGAACAAGAAATGGGACAACAAGTGTTTTAATTGGAGAAAACATATCTTGACCATGACCAGCTTATCAGTTCACAAAGGAGAAATATCACTTGAAACACTGTTTGATCCTAAACAAAAGGTCAAAGGTTTTCCCTACTACTAGTTCAACTGGATAAATCCACCCTAAGTCAGCAGTGACAGAAATGCTTTACTTTGACATAAAACATTTAACAAAACTGAAACAGAATTAAAATATTTTTAGAACACCTTACTCTGGCAGCACAAGCAAAAGAATCAGGGCCATGAGCTGCGTTTCTTATGCCGTCTGTTCCAAAGAGGGCTCTAACGCTTCCAGGAGCATCTGTACGTGCCACCCCAGAGTTTGCAGGTCCAAGTAGTCTTTTCCATTCACATATAGCATCATCTCTTAAAATCTCCATGGCAATAATAGGACCACTTGTAATAAACTGGATCAGCTCACTGTAAAACAGGTAAAAGATTAATCTGCTTCCTTTTTCTGTCAACCTAGGTATCTCTCTTAACAACAAGGATATATTACAATTTGAGTATTTCAATGCACATGAATATTATGATCTCAGAACTATTGGATATAGTGAGTTTTACATGGGTATGAGAAAATTATCATAAGTTGAATGCCGTGCAGGAGCCTGAGTCACTACAAAACACTAATGTTGTCAAATCTATTAGTGTAAGCAGAAAAATCATTTCATTGAATTAAGACTATTTCATTGACTTAAAATGCATATTGTTGATTTAAGCTTTTCCTATTGCTTGAAAGGTACAGAAGAATCTTCCTTTTTGTTTTCATGTGGCTTACCATTGTAGTCAAATAAAATTTCATAATATAGAAAGTGATGAGAGTGATGTCTTATAACATATTTGCAGCAAGAATTTATTCTTTTTGTGTACAACTCTTAGAATTCCAAGAATGACAATGAACTTTCAATCAATAAGCATTGAGTTGTTTTAGTGATTAAAAAAAAGAAATCAACAGGTCTTCAAGAAATATCCTTTTATTATTGTAAAAACTACTCTGGCTTATTCCTACTTTAAATTATTAAAGCATACACATAGGTTCTTGATTAAAAATCCAGCACTGAGTCACAGCACCCAAAGGCATAAAAAACAATACCTCATTTTATTTTTCCACTTCTCTATAAGGCAGCAATGACAAGTTTAACTGTGAAATAAGTGACACCATTCCTCCTACTATGTCAAGCAGAGACAAAATACTTTTTAAAGTAAGCCCAAGTTTCTCTCTCATTCAAACCAAGAGAAGGACAGGACCCTCCCGGAGAAAGGAGCATGGTATGACAAGCCCTTTTGTGTCTATTACCTCCTAATGGTTTTGCACATTTCCTTCCCTCATGAACCATGTTACATGAGCTAACCCCCTTCAGCACTTCCTTTTTAAATCACTTCAATTCATTTTGAAGAATATGTCTAAGAAAATAGCAAGTACAAGGAAGTATTCACACCATCTATCCTAAAAGGCCCACATGAGCTCCTCATACATGTTCTGCTAGGCCTTAGCTGCCAAAAAAAAAGGAAATTAGATTTAAGGAACTCAAAGCAAGGGGACACCCATGCTTATCCATTCAACGAGCATTTAATGATTATCTACTACAAATCAGACTATGCTGTAAAACAAAATCCTTTCCTCAAGAAACTTATAATCTAATGTCCTGTTAATAGGAAGTTCTCCGAACACATAGCAGAATGGGGCCATAATAGCAGTGTGGCACGTAGTGATGCAGGGAATGGTGCGCCTGATCATAACAGACACTGCTTCACAAATCTATTTCCCATTACTACAGCTACGTCTTTTGAGTTTTTCTCAATAACAGAAAACTAGTTAACTCATTCATTTAATACAATTTACTGCACACCAGTAATTACATATAAGACACTAAACTAGGAGCGATAATATAATGCTACAAACATACACAAAAACTATAACAAAGAATAATTTCCAAGAAAATTATATATGCCTCTTCTAAAAAGTCTTAGGAATATTTTATAATGCATGATTTAAAATAATCTAAAACATAATAATTTTCTCTTTAAAAAAACCACTGTTCTGTGCAGAATAACAAATGGCATGTCTATTGTGAGGTCTTGGCTAATATCCCTCTTCATGAGACACGTATAGCACTCCCTTGTCAACATAATATGAGCTGCATAATAGTCACTTAAATTTAAATACATCCCAAATATTTAGAAAATAAATTCAGTTTCTAACATATATTAGTTGCTATATTTTAAGGGATAAAATGTATATCAAACTACTTAGTCAAAATATAAGGGTTCTAGGAACATTGTTTTATGTACATGAGAATACCAAAATAAGGGTTTAAAAGCACAACAAAAATAAATATTCAACATAAAATATAATTATCACTTTATTGTAATCTACTGAAATCTAAAAAAAAGCTATGCTATTTATAATTTAAACGACTCATCTCATTTGCTTCTGATTAAAGTTTAAAATACTTAATGATGAAATAAGAATTCTTATCTAATAAAAGGACAGAAAAAGCAATTCTTAAAAAAAATGTTCTCTACAGTTGTAAGATGCTGCCAGGGTCGTCTTGACAGATTATTCTCATGTAACAAATTTTTGAATTGTAAAAGTCTCCAGTTTTCTGGGATATCCTCCATTACACACCACTCACTCCAAATTCAGCACCTACTTTAAAAACGGCCTTGACTGATGGTCTACATGAAAATCCGTTGCTTCTTTCCTATAAAATAATCAAAAGGACAATAGTTAAGAATTGTGTAAGAATATTATTTTAGCTCACTTTAATATAATAAAATAAAAATGAAATCTATTTATTTGATCTGTATGTGAATTGATTAATGATTTTTCACCAAATATTCTGCTCAAATCCCCCTTCCTTTCAAACTTCTTGCTAGTAGGGAGGATATCTATGTTAACATGTAACATTAAAATGAATATAAGAGGCTATGTTTACTTTTCTACTCATATTCATACCTATTCTCTTCCTTTTCACCAGGATCTTTAACATTCTAGAAACAAAGTTTAACACTTGACCAATAAGAATTATTTGTTCTATTTAGAGTTCAAATAAGTTACATCAAAAAATGCAAAGCCATCTTCAAATTCAAAATTTGTCAGTTTCTTCTACTGGCTTTAAACTTGAGAGGTCAGGCTAGAATTTTAATACTTACAGTTTTCTTTCTTAGATAGATCTCTCCAAAGAAAAGACTATATACTTACATTTTTAAAAACTGCTCGACAAATTATGCATATCAATGTATTCTTATTGGTTATTAATGTATTAAAAACTAATACTTTAACTGATATCACCAAGGGGATAATATGGAGATATTCAGAATTCCGGATTTATTAAGGGAAATAGGGATTTGCTTTTTAAATGTATATCCCTGTTAAAGAATATCTATAGAGAAAAATGAAAGAATAATGGACTTTAAACTGATTCGCTGAAAAGTCTAAATCTCAAATCAGGTGTCTCTCAAACTCGTCGTTTTCTTAAAGGCTTTAAAGTGAGTTCGTAGTATGTGACAAATATATGCCAACATCAACTATGTCCTTTTTTCTTTTTTTTTTTTCCACTGAGGAAGATTCACCCTGAGCTAACATCCGTGACAGTCTTCCTCTATTTTATATATGGGTCGCCACCACAGCATGGCCAACAATGAGTGGTGTAGGGAAACAAACTCAGGCTGCCAAAGCAGCATGCATGGAACTTAACCACTAGGCCACAGAGCCATTCCATCAACTACTTTTTAAAATAGCAAAGAAGTTAAAGTGTCCTCTGGCAAATGATTAACCTTTCAGACTTGACAATTTAGTATGCAATGGTTTAAGATCTTACATGCCTATTTCAAAATGAATTCACATAGTAAGCTATATCAGGGCATCCTCTTATTGAAACCAAATGTACTGAAATATTCTGTTTGGCTATGAAGAGATTATGAAAGTATACTATGCAAGTACATAAAATAAAATTCATCCCAAAAAATGGGAGGGGAAGAAAACACCTTTCTAGAGCCTACCATATGCCATTAAATTATTTTACATATTCCTCACAACAATATATTGAAATAGGTATGATCGCCTTCCTGTTACATATGAACATAGGTAAGTTCAGCAGGATTACACAACTTGTCCAGGTCAAAGTGCTAGTAAGGGAAGCAGCACAGGGGGAGCTGAACCCAAACCTCTCTGGCTGCAAATCTCTGATTGCATATACCCTTCCTATTACCAACTGCAGAAAAAAAAATTCTAGAGGGTAAGGAGAAAAATTCACGCAGATGAAATGGATGTATTGTACTGCAGCCTAAAATGAGGTGAAACTGAACACCTAAAAAACTCAGGTGGGGAATATTTTAGAAGAGTTAGCAGCAAGCGTGCTAAAATGACCAATTCTAAACTTTTCAACACAACTGCACCACTAAAAAAGAAAAAACAATCATAATCTTTAATATCAATGAACCGAAAAGTCTCAATTACTGAAATTGCTTCATTGTTTTCTTCTAACATGTCACTAACCCCATAGTTATCTCCATTCAAAATCTAAAATTGAAACCAAGATGAGAGTTCATGAACTTTTCCCCATCAGTTTTATCTAATTCTTCTCCTGAAAAGTTTAGACAGAAATATTAACAAATGCATCACCACCTAGAGAAATTTTATTGTTGTCGTTTTGTTATGTCTTGTTGTGTTTTTATAAAGAAACTCACCATTCTCTCGCAAAGATCTATCTATTAATTCTTTCATGAAATATTTACTTAGTGCGACCTTGAATCAGGCACTGATCCAAGAACTAGAAGTACAAAGTCAGATGGAACTCAGCTGCTACCTTTCAGATACTGTCATGACGGAGGAACTGAAGTTTGAGCAGATAAGTTCAGAAAAGATTTAAGCACTGGGACATACTCCTCCATGGGTCTCTGGCACTTCTAACATGCCTTACTGGGTATGCCAAGAATGCAAGGCCCCAGCTTCTCTTTATTCTAACCATTTCTCAGAGTTATGTTTACAGTGAGCAACTTTGATGGATGAGGTCATGTCTCTCTTCAGTACAAAAAGCAGGCTTGTTTACTGCTTGCAAATGAAGCAGTGGGTAACCCAAGTTCAATGCTCCTCAGCTGTGATGCAATCAACTGCGTATACAACATCCACCCGGGCCCATATCATATTATTCCCAAGGGACATGGAGGCAAGGGGAACCAACAAAAACATGATGCTCATGCTGCTTGCTGTACCATAATAAAGTCCTTTGTCTCTAACCCAGAAGTCTCACGTCTTCTGCTGGCATCCACAAAAGAGTAACAGACTGACTTATTAGCTTTTAAGTTGGGTAAAATCCAAGAGTCAACAGTAATATTAATAGAGATGTATGAGGGGCTATGAACAATTAAAGCAGCAGTTACATTTTCTTGGGCATCTTTATTATGGGAAGTTTGATGCCAAATTATCAAGCACTGGATGTGCAGAGATGCAAAAACTTTTTAATCTCACTAAAACTATTCAAAGTCATCTCTCCAGAATTCAGGCCCATTGTACGCTATATGAGCAAGCATTCTCCATATGTACAGAAATACGACAAATTTCACCACTTAAAAAGGGTTATGACCTTGGTTTCCACTAAATAATAATGATATCACTAGTACTACAGCTAATAACAATAATAGCTAACATTTATATACACTTACTTTGTGCGAAGGTTTTTCAAAGCACTTTACATATATTAAACTCATGTGACCCTCATAACAACTTTTCGGACAGGTGCTATTATAAGCTCCATTTTGCAGATGAAGAAACTGAAGCACAGAGATAAATTGTTCAGAGTCACACACCCAGTAAGTGGCACAGTTACAAGCACTGTGGCTCGAGACTCTGTGCTCTGAAATATAAGCCTCCTTGCCTTCTAGAAAATAAGTAAACTGGGAGATCTTACATTGGGTGAAAATTTAAATTAAACATATGTCGTTGTTGGGGTAAAAGTGAGGATGTTTTGTTAAGGTTTCTAGGGATCAGACTTATCAAAGCTGCAATGAACATCTATCGTTATCCATTGTCCCTGTTCTCACAGAGACAAAAAACAACCGTCCCATGGAATAGATGTCCAGGAACAGCAGTAAGAAGACGTCTGACCAAAAACAAAGAAACAGTGGAGAAACAAAAGAACACCACGGGAGCCAGCTCTGCCTGGCTGCTACATTAACGCCCCGACCTATAGGGAAGTCTTATTTTCACGAAATAACTTAGAGAAAATGGATTGCTTTTCAGAGTAGTAAATAGGTATGTTACCAATTATATATATTGGGAGGAGCTGAATATAAACATTTCCAAACGCATCAGTTTTGGAAATTTCAACAGTAACAATCTCTTGTCAAATAGAAATCAACATTCATTTCCTCTTCTATGATTTTTATACAGTGTGTTATACTTGTGTACTAAGAAGAAGAGATTACAGTTATCAAGCATTGGTGTTACAAAGCACACGGGGTTATGGAAGACAAACAATTAATGAGGCATGTGGAATCTGACAACTCCCAGTTGCGTAGAGTTCAATCATTATTTATGCATCTGATTGCCTGTTGTCTCACATTTTCTCATTCCAATACTATACTATTCTTTGCCATTCAGTGGGAGGTTTTTTATTTTAAACAATGACATGAAAGATAGAAGATGAAGTTTTTAAAAACAGGAACCAGACATTACATAATTTAAAACGATCAACAAATTACCTTGAAAGCATCATCATTTTGAGTTTAGTTATAGTAAATCCAGCTTTGTTTATCATTTCAATTATTTCTCCAGCTTTTGATATTGCATCTGGTTTAATCAGGGCTAACGTTCTGTAAAGAAATAAAAATACATGTGAAAATAAAAATAGTTCAGCAGTTTTTACTTATAATTCTCAAGCTGTGCTAATTTCCTTAACAATCATCCTAGATCATCCAACATCAAGATGAATTATAAAGTGTATTAAAAGTCTCTTAAAAACTTATACAAAGTAAGTTAATTATTTTTCCCAAGGAAATCAAAATTAGGAACCCAACCTAAAAATAATTATAATAAAATCTTAGGGGGAAAAAAATTAAAATTGTCATTTTGAATGTGCCCAAATTAGAAAACACAGGTGTTTAAAATTTCTATTTCTTAGAATACATTTTATAAAAGAGGAAAAATCTCTAAAAAGTTGCAGTAAATATATTATGAGCCTGACTTTTGGTCTCTTAGACTTTAACATATGTATGCTATGCAGTCAGTTCAGCATTGATTTGGAAATAATTACAAATTCTTCTGTTAACACTTTATTCATTGCATGAGCGATGCAAAAAGAACCAATATCTTCTCACCTGATAAAATACATGGAGAGCGAACCCCAGGCTAACCTTTACAATCACACTCTTCTTTAAGAGGATACATTAGAGCAATGCACTCTCCTCCTCTGAAGCCACAGAATTAATAGATTTTTGGAGATGGAGATCACCTGAGTGCCCTCATTTTACTGAAGAGGAAACTAAGCCCAGAGAGGTAACTTGCCAAAGGCTACAGAGCTGGTCAGTGGCATCTTCAGGGCAGGGCAAAACACCCAGCTCACAAGACTCCCAAGTCTGTGCTCCTTCCACACCACAAATAATGTCACTATTAATATTATTAAAAGGAAGCATAATCCCAAAACCCTCAAAGGTATTATTTGCAAATGCAAGATAAAAATCAAATTAGTTGGAGTAATTCAACTTATATGACATGCAAAATTATGATAAAGAATTGCTGCCACTTTCCCCTCTTTATGTTCAATTGTTCTGAGACATTGGCATTAACTCAAGGAATCTATAAAGGGAGAATGGTTGGCCTTTTCCCAGGTGGTTTTTCTCACCAGTGAGACAAACTCAGTTGAAGATATGATAATTCAATTATCATTACTTACAAGTGGATATAACTTATGGCTGGCCTTTAAAGCTTTCCAATAACAAAACTTGGTCATCTTACACTGTTTATTATAAGCCATACTGGACTATCTTTTTCTTTGTTTTGAGGCAAATGAGTCACTTACAGTATTTTATATTATATGGCTTCATTGAAGATACAATTAAAACTTGTCACTTTTTAGCCCACATTATTTAAATATTATAAGCCAAACTAAATTGTTTATGCTAAACTCTGGAAGAACTTTCATGAACCATCGTTCTTAAAGAAAATATGAAACACATCAACAGTCATCAATTTCTGTGAACAAGCAGTAACATGAAAATAAAAAACAGACAGAACTTAGTTTAAAATGCAATTCCATTTGCTCTTTACATGACGACAGGAGACAAAGAGTTGATTACTATGATTAATTACTCTAAATAAATTTCTCTGTCATGTCTTCAGTGCTTAATTGCTCAATAGATAATAATTAAGATGTATTTGGGAGGGAAAACAAGACAGGTATCAATCATATGTGTTATTTAAAAGTGAAGATGGCGCACAAAGAAAACAGGGGCCACAAAAATGTATTAACAGTGCCAGTGTTGTCTGGTGCTGCATAACAAACCACTCTAAACTGTAGTGGCTTAAAACAAACAATTTCTCAAGCTCTGTAGGCTGGCTGGGTGGTGGTTTCACCTGGGATCATTCACGCAGCTGCACCTGGCTGGAGGGCTCAGCTAGGGCCTGGGCTCAGCCAGGACAGCTAGGCTTCTCCTTCCTTGCGGTCTTTCATCCTTGAGGAGGCTAGACCAAGCTTCGTCATGTAGAGCCACACAGGGTCCAATATACACGCACTTATCGAGCATCCCCTTGAGCCATGTTTGCTAATATCCTTTTCACCCATGCAAGTCACATGGGCGAGTCCAGAGTCAGCGTGAGATGGGACTAGACAAGGAGGTGCGTACCAGGAGGTATGATTCATTGGGGACCATCACTGTAACCATCTATCACACAGTAATCCTCTCTCCTGCATTAGGCATGCACTGCAGGATGTAGTACGAGAAGCTCTCAAAAGAAAACAAAAAAATAAGAAAATTGTTCTTTTACATTAAAACTTCTTAGCAATGGAGAATGAAAAAAGTTTACACAACCTTCAAAAAATTCAGACAGGTTACAGATTTCTGAAAAATAATAATTCTCACAGAGCCGTGCAAAAAATGTGTCTTCATACACCATCAGGCTCTGAGCAAAAACTGCAGCAAATATGTGTGTGATAAAGATGACTAATCAATTGCAGTGTAATAAACATCCTTGATAATATAATGCTATGGACTCTGAATGCTGTCCACCAAGAGGAATACATTCATAAACTTTAATCCACATTAATTTACGCAAATATTTCAAAAGGTATTCATATTTGCCTTAAGCATATAAAAATCCATTCTAAAACATCAACCGAAGGCCAAATTTATGGTTTCTTTTATGTTTTTTTGGCAAGCATAAAGTGTGCACTTGCCCAACAAATAAAGGAAAATAGTCTTATATGAGGCACCTGTGGAGGAAACTACACTGAGCCAGAGCTTTCAATTGGCAACAATGGCAAAGTTATTCAGAGCAATTCTTCCACTGAAAACTAAAAACAGTGTATAAGATATCTTTTAAATATTTTTTAAAAGCAAAGATAGATTGACTAGATACTAAGTAATAATTAGTACAAAAGTGAAAGAAAAAGAGAGTCCGGAAAAATGAGAATGAAAGTTGTACTTGCCTTGACAGCACCGCGTGTCTCGCAAATCTGAACTTTAATTTGTATTATGTCACTGGGAGAGGGGATCAAAACTTAACAGAGGAATCTCTCTGGGACCAAGGCTATATCCTAAGGGTGAACAGTAACAACCAGGCTTTGTGTGGTCTGGCAGCACAATTTCATATCACCTCGGTGGTCTGGGAACTTCCAATTTTGAATTTAAGAGTCATCCAGATTGCTGATGCCTCCAGGACACAGTCCGAAGCAAACACAATTCCTCCCTAGGAGGAAAGTAACTTCATATTGTACCTCAAATAATTCACATATAGATACACAACACACATATATCACACACATACACGCACCCAAACACATACACACACATGACAAGCAACATCACACAAAGATAACCACGCATACACAGACACACACACACAGAAAACACCAGCATGAGGGAGAATGAGAAGAAACAACATGGAACAGAGAGAGACCTACAAATACTCAGATACAGGAAGTATCAGATATAGTCCATAAAATAACCATGCAAACTATGCTTAAAGGACTAAAAGACAACCTGCAAAATATCATCAGGCAACAGAAAACTATAAGCTATAATGAATAAGTAGATTTGAAAAAATCTATTATAATATCTAGTGATAAGAACAAGAACTAGACAAACGGTTTCACAGAAGAATAGATGCAACCAAAGAAAGAATTTTGAGCAGATTCAGAATGAAGCACAGAGAAACAAAAAGATACAACACAGACTGGAGGGTAGTATCAAGAATGTAAGTGAAATAAAGACATTCTCAGATGAAGACAATACTGGTAGACATGCTTCTAAATGACTAATGGATCAAAGAAGACAACATAGGAAGATTAGAAAATATTTCAAACTAAATAAACATTATAAAATTTCATAAAAAACTGTATGTGATTATAAACAGTATTTAGAGGGAAATTTATACTCAATTGCATATATTAAAAATATTGAAAATTGATGGAATATATAATTCTCAAACCAATAATAACAGAAAAGAGGAATAAAGGAAACTTGACTAGCTATAAACCTCAAATTGTATACCTAGCAAACGCATCATTAAAGAAGAACGGCCAGGGGCCGGCCCGGTGGTGCAGCGGTTAAGTTCGCATGTTCCACTTCTCAGCGGCGCGGGTTCACCGGTTTGGATCCCAGGTGCAGACATGGCACCACTTGGCAAAAGCCATGCTGTGGTAGGTGTGCCACGTATAAAGTAGAGGAAGGTGGGAATGGATGTTAGCTCAGGGCCAGTCTTCCTCAGCAAAAAGAGGAAGATTGGCAGTAGTTAGCTCAGGGCTAATCTTCCTCAAAAAATAAATAAATAAAAATAAAGAAGGAAGGCCAAACAAAAAACAGAGATTTTTAAAAAAGAAAAACCGAGATAGTTTACTACCAAGAAATGAAGGATAAATTTAAGAAGAAAAATGATTCCAAAGCACAGTTGGATATGAAAGAAGAATTGATGAACAAATGTGCAGCTAAGTCCAAATAAAACTCTATACATAGAATTATATAAACTCCAAACCAATAGAGAATAAATACAGTAGGCAGAACAGTAGCCACACAAAGATGTCCGCGTCCTAATCTCTGGACTCCGTGAATGTCACCTCACGTGGCAAAGGGACTTTGCAGATGTGATTAAGATTACAGGCCTTGGGACGGGGAAATTATTCTGGATGTTTACTGTGGGCCCAATCTAATCACATGAGCCCTGGCTGCAGAGAACCAGGGAGATGTCAGAGTGAGAAGGACCCAGGCTGCCACCACGAGCTTCAAATATGGGCGGACACCACAGCCAAGGAATGTGGGTGGCCTCAAGAAGCTGGAAAAAGCAAAAATGGATTATTTCCTAGAGCCTCCAGAAAGGAAGGCAGCCTTACCAAAACCTTGATCTCAGCCTGGTGAGACTTGTGTTGCACTTCCATCTACAGAACTATGAGAGAATAAATTTGTATTGTTTAAGCAACTGAGTCTTTGGGAAACTCTTATGGCTTCAATAGAAAACTACAGAGTGGGGGGAAAAAACTGAACTGAGAAAAAATACCCCAACTAAACAAAAGAACCAAAAATATAAAGAAGAAAAAACAGAAAAGCACTAAAATAGTAGAAATATGTACAAAAATACCAATAACACATGTAAACGTGCATTT